AGCATCTTTCCAAAAGTGGGAAGTTGGAATCTAGGGGTCTTAATGGCCTACCCAATTTTGATCTATCAATTCTGATTTTTTTAACTTGTCAATAGTAAAACACACACACACACACACACACACACACACGAAAAGAGACTTAAACCTTAGAAATGCTATAAATTCATAGGCCATTATTTTTTTAATTTTTCTCCATGTAAACTGTTTGCTTGACTTAACCATATTATTCTGCAGAGCAATATTCTTGCTCAAGGTTGTAATGTTGATTTTAGACAATGTGGTGCTAATCCATATGGATATCTAGGTAATGTAAGAAGCTAATATGTCATCCTGCTTACAATTTTCCAAGATCCATTAGGTCACACTACTCTCTCCAGCATTCCAAGAGACCTAGAGTTCTGTCAGTTCATTTTCTATTTGTAGGTAAGCTTCTTTGTCATAGATTATAACTTCTAATAAGGAAAATGTTCTTTTGGCACTTGGTAGTGTCTTATTGTTGAAGCATAGAATTATCCATTTATTTCTTCAACAAAATTTCATTTAATAGCATTTATTGAGCTCAAGTTTATGAATTCTAAGGATCTAGTGCCAAATAAGATGTTCTGCCTCCAGGAACTTAAAGTTCAGTAGCAGAAACAGACTGAAGGCCAAATCATTACACAGTGTAGCTTCCTTTTTATAGTGTTTATATAATACCAATTGCTGGCAAAATGAAGAGAGTCACCAGTTGTTGGTAGATACAAAATAATTCCATAGAGGAAACTTTGAAATGAATCTTGAAGGGTAACATATTTTTCTTTTCAGGTAGGCAAGCACATTTTTCAAAAAGAAAAGGGGACATTGTTGTGGAGAAGAATTCTCATAGAATTTGCAGGGGATGTTCAGAGAATCCTATACGGTTTCATGGGTCAATGGTAAAGGGAGTATGATCATCTGAGGAAGTACTGAAGAAGTAGATGGAGTGTGAATCATATGTGGGTCACAAAAAGGTAAAAATAAAAGACAGGAAGATGACTTCAGAGATTATTGCAGTAGTCCACATGAGGAAAAGACGTAATGTGTCAGGAGTAGACTTTGAAAGGAGCAGCGGGAATAGTAAGGAAAAATTTTTAAAAATAAAATTCATGGGCCTCCCCTGGTGGCACAGCAGTTGAGCACTGGGCTGCGAAGTTGCCTGCAGCCTCTGCAGCACTGGTTTGATCCCTGGCTGCCAGCGAGGGTCCCACATGGCGCACAGACCTCTCCTGTCTTGCCCGCTGCTCCCCTCAGCAGTGTATTTCATCAGTCTGCCTGTTCTGTTCCCCGCTCTGGCTCTGGTGAATTCTCTTACCCTCCCGTGCTTCTGACTGTACCCAGTGCTTGTATAAATAAATAAATAAACATTTAAAAAAATAAATAATAAAATTCATAGGATTCATTGCACACTTACCAGGTGCTGTACTAACACTGAACAATGTTTTGGTTCCAATATTAGCATCTTCCATTCAAATTTCTGCTTTTCCATTTTGATTCTTTGTGTTTCAGTTTCCCAATCTGTTGTTTGAGTGTCTTTCTTCACTTTCCTTAGTTGGAAAAGCACATAGCCCAGTCAGGACTGCCTGCTCAGCAGGACCTTTCTCCAAGACTCTCTCCCTTTAAAAAGGAAAGTAATGCTTAAAGGATGGTATGGAACTGAACTGAGGCAATAGAAAAAAAAATGTGACAGAGACATGGCACATAGTAAGTGTTTAATAAAACACAGAGAAGATTGGCATAGTACTTTGTGTTTTTACAAAAGGATAGCATTTTTAACTGGGGGTGAATCAGTATTTTTCTGAGTGTATAATTATGTATTTTTGTTTCTTTTAGTATGCTACTCCCATCAAAATAGTTATTACTTTAAATTTAAGAACATGCCTCAGAACATTGATTTTGGACATTCCAATTTATTTTTAGACTACTTTCTTTATTGGTATTCTCTAAAAGAAAAAAGAAACAACTAAATGTGGATACAGAAAACAGAGAATGTTATTAAAATCAGTGTCTATTTGATTTCTAAAACGTAAGTTTACAGCATTTATATTTCAATAAACTAGGAAGTATTTCTCACTTCCCTTCTTATGTTGTGCACTCCCTTTATTGCCAAAGTCTGTTGCTTCTTCAAATGAGATTATCAAAATGTCTATATTAATTAGCTAAGAATATGCATAAAGGTTTCTCAGACCAATCCTACAGCCACAGAATTTATAGTTGTTTGGAAGAAAATTTCACTATAAGTAATCATATAGGGAAATATTAATTTCACTATATAAGAAAAGAAAAAATGATTTGGTATGTGTTTTAAGAATATTAAGTCAGTGTTGCCCATTGGACACCATGCTCATCCATATAATTCCTGAGAAGCTTTTGGCCATCCTCACCACATAACCTAATGTAGCAGCCATAAGCACAGTGGGAATAAAGCAGCAAACAAATTGACCAGACACACACTTGACAAGCTCTTGCCATGTGGTCTTTCTGATTTTAAGTTGTTTACATTGGCACAAGGATCTGAGCACAGATTAAAATATTCCTTAGTATTGGTGGGGAGGAAAATAGATTTGCACATTCAATTTTCATTGTTACTTATAATACCAATTGAATAGCGATACAAATTCCAATTCAGAAAAATAAGCTTCTCCAGTGCCATCTTCTCTTCACATGGAAGAATTATTACAGTTAATTCCCTAGCAAAAGTGAGAAGAAACAGCAGCAGAAAACAAGAAATATTTTCTATTGTTGTTTTCTAATGAAAGAGCTCAGACTGTTTACTTAAGCCAGATAAAATATACCCAAATGTTACCTTCACTAATTAGAAGTGTAAGTCTGTGTTTAAAGATCTCCCCAACTGCAAATTTATCCCAGGAGCTGAAGCAGAGAGATTTTAAAAATCTAATTATTTTTTAAATGATTTTCAACAGATGCTTTATACCTCCGTTTGGTGCCTGATGCCTGGGAACTCTGTGTGAAACCAGGTTAGTGTTGTTCACCTAGACCAATCCCCATGGGTTAGTGGCATAACCCGCCATCTGATTAATGGGAAGGCAGGACATTTGTAATGTGTAATCTGACACATTGCTGCTCACAGAGATGACTACTGTGCGCAGAGAACTCAGCCTTAATAAAGTTAACTGGTTCACTCTCCTTAGTTTCCTCCTTAGTGAAATAATTCTCATCCTCTCTACATTGATATAAAAATATAATATATTCCAGTAATAACAGAATTTGAATATACTGTGAGATTGGCTTTGTCCTCTGCCCAGACTGTCCTTTAACCTAGCAAGTGAAAATTTTAATCTTGGGATTGGAAGAGAAAAATTGAAGCTGGAGGGATAGTAAAAACTGGGCTGTTAAATGGCTGGCAACATGGTCTGAAGAAACATGAAGGCTGACAGCATCCCTGATTTCCAGTATGGTCCCTGGGAAATCTCCCCAGATAGGGGGAGCAAGCTGATTAACTGGAGTCAGTTACTAATGTTTCTGCTACAGAACAGGGAGTCACAGTGAGCCACAGATCCTGAGGACCATCTGCATGTAAATGCAAGTGGACAATCGCCATCAAGGGAAGTCATAGGTAGCCCAGGTTGGAATAGATTTGGAGTAATCTATGCCATAGATGACTCCATATTTTAATTGAATCTATGAGTTTTTGAATCCCCTTTATTGTATAATGCTATAGGGAAAATAGGGGAGTTATGAGTTGGTTGATTTTATCATTTGCTTTGGTCTTTGGAAACACATCTATAACATATTCCTGGATCTTATAATCTGAACTGCTTCCAAAGACTCTCTTGTAGGGTTTTTTTTTCCATTCTTCCTGGAATTGTTTGACATTATGCCATTAAGTTTTAATGTGAAATGTTGTACAATTTTATAAATGTTTTAATACATTTATTATAGGGCTGCTCTTAAGGATATTTACCATATCATGTTGAGTCTTCAATATAAAAATTGTCCAAACTTTATAGTGTAGAAAAATCTGGGAACTTTGTCAAAGTGTAAATTCCAATTTGGTAGGTCTGGGTGGGGCCAAAGATTCTGCTTTACGTAAATTTCCAGTTGCTAGTCTGTGCACCAAGCTTTGTCAATGTCCTATGGTAGAAAGCTACTATCAGAAAAGCTGTGATTGCCTAACAAATAATTTGTTTTGTTATGTAATGCTATGAATTGTATTGAGTTGGACTATGTAAAATTACCAAAGGTTGATTATTTTTAAGCTTTTGGTGGGAAATTTCATGTAGTATAGATACAGTATATAAAAGGTGTAATACATTAAATCAGATTCTTCTCTTTATGTTGATGGCTAGAGAGCTCATAACCAAAACTGTAGTCCACCTGTAGTAAAGTATACAGAAGAGTGTTACATATTGTGTATTTTAGGCACTAACGTCTCCCTTAATAAGTAAGAAATCTCTTAAGTTACAAGTAACAGAAATCTAAATTAACTGTCTTTTACAAAAACTGGACTTACATATTTAGGAAGTAGAAGTTTATACCTTTCCCTTTTAACATGTGTAGCCATAAGGACTCAAACAGGGACATCAGCCTCAGTTTTTCTACTCAGTCTCTCAGTTTTATGTGCATCGATGATGATTCCATTCTCTGGGAGGCTCTCTTTCCACCGAGATGACTCCTGGGAACACCAGAATCACAGCGAGCTTCTTAGCAACTCTAACAGAAAGAAAAAAAAAATCTTCATTTTGGAACTGCATTTCATTGGACTTGCTTTGGGTAGAGGAATGGAAAGCTCTGATTAGCTAACGCTACCTCTCATGCCCTATCTCGACCTGCCTCAGCTCTGTCAAACCCATACTGGCTAAGAATTGGTAAGGGTTTATTCCTTAAAAGAATATTGGGTGACTATTAGCAGAAAAGGGAAGAATGTTCTTAGGAAGATTGTTTCCCTAAGATGCCTTTCCTTACAGAAAGATTGTCCATTCTCATCCCATTGTTGTCAACAATGGTGTGTGACTTGCCTTGGCAAATGACATCTGAGCAGAAGTGATACGTATCAGTTCTAAGTGGAAATTTAGGAACTTGAGTTTGCCACGCTCTCTTGTTCCACTTTTAACTTCCAGATAAGATCAGCTACTTCAGCCTGGGTCTTGGGGTGAAAATGACAGAAAGCAGAGTGAGAGATAACACATTGATGTGTAAAGTTAGCAAAAAATAAGACTTTGTTGCTGTTAGTCACTGTATAATAGGTTTGTTACCAAAGTAATTTCAGACTAAACTGACTAATAAAATAGGCAAAACAACAAGTGTTCTCAACAGCCCACCAGTTTCATTCCAATATATATTGACTCTTCAAACATACAATTTCAGAAACACTCACAAATTAATACACATATTAATTACACACTTAAATACACTACCCCCTCCCCAAAAAAGGTAACCATAAAATCATATCCAAAGACCACTCCTAAATGCAAATACAAAATCACTGGGTGATAGATATTTCCCACTTAGCTTTACTGGTAGAGCAACCTATGGTTAAATGATACACTTGAATACATTTAAATGATGCATTAAACTATCCCAACATATAAAATATATAATGGTGAAAATAAGGAAATACATATAAAACCAAACCAACTTCTCTCTCCTTTTCAAAAAGAATGAAAGGAAACCAGCAGAGAGGCAATGGATCTGATAGCAAATAAATACTGGAACTCTCCCAGCAGAATGTCAGAAGGAGAAAGAGAAATATCAAATGGTTTTACTTACATATAGAATATGAAAGAAACAAAACAAAGAATTAGAAAAACCAAACTAATAACAAACTCTAGAAATATGGCTGTGGAATGAAGGTTATCAGAAAGGTGAAAGGGAAGCAAAGTGTGCAGAGGCCCAGTGGACTCTGGTGGAGAACTATGGGTGCCGTGGTGTGAGTGTAGTGGGGTTACATACATCTGAAGTATGTGATCCTATACCTCTAAATCATATACAATATTGTAATGTCACCTCAATTAAAAGGAAAATGAGCTTCTTGGTTCTTGATTCTGTATTTTTCAATTTTTCCCTATGAGGATCTTTATTTATTTGCCTCCACTGGCACATCTGAGATGACATTGGTAGAATTTTAAATCTGGGGCTGCCCCATGTTAGCTAGTGGCAGGTGTGTTGAGAACACTACCAGAATTTTATTTATTTATTTTAAAAGATTTATTTATTTATGCATCCAAGAGCTGGGGTACAGGCCAGAGATGCAGGGGGTGAGAAGATTCACCAGAGACAGAGTGGGGCACAGAACAGGCAGATTGACTGAAATACACTGCTGAGGGGAGCAGTAGATGAGACAGGAGAGGTCTGCCTCACTATGTGGGTTGCTCCCTGGCCAGCTGGGGATCGATCTTGTGCTGCAGAGGCTGCAGATTGCTTTGCAGTGCAGTGTTTAACACCTTGTGCCACCAGGGAGGCCCTACCAGAATTTTAAAGCATAAGCTTCAGGTGTTCCCTGCCCTCAGCCTTCACTTTAATTTAGCCTTGTCTTTAGATAATAGAAAACTATGTAAGGAAGTGGTTCAGTAGGTTGGCCATGTCTATCTTCCCATCTATGCTTTGCCCTCCTTATCTTCTAGCTTTGTTCAAATTCATCCAGGTGAGTCATCCAGTCTAGCATGGTATCTTCCAAAATGCCAATCTCTCAACCATCGCAGATTTCCAGCCACAGGTCAGAAATGGGCCACTTGAGAAACCAAATGAATGAAAACAGAACTATTTTTATTGTTTCTTTTTTGCTCGGCTTTATGCTTTCACATGATCAAGTTAACTATAGCAAACTTTGTCTCTTCTTATAAAACCTTTAAGAATTCATCAACACATGCCAAAATCCTGTTATTTTTCTACCAAGTTACTAATCTCCAGCCTAAGAAGTATGTGGACTGATTGCCAAGGCACAAGAGATGGAAGTTAACCAAAGACTTTGCTGCTCTGTCATAAGATTTCAAACTTCTCAGCAAGGAGAAGTTCAGTGTCTTCCTTGTTGCTTCAGCTCAGCTGGTGATACAAGTCAGGTTATGTGACCTACCACATCTCACATCTAGGATGCTTCAAAATCAGATTAAGGTTCTTTGTTTGAAAATAAGAAAACTCACTATGGCTGTTTTAAGGGGAAAAAAAATTAAAAAGTTTTAGATTGATTCACTGAAATAAAGAAAAAATCAAACAACTAGACTTTGGATAGGATGGGATCCAGAAAACACCAAGAATATTAAAAAACAGAAAGCAATGGCTTTTATATATTTAGGAAGAAATCTCATAGGCCAGAAATGTCCTCCACAGCCCTGATGTCCTCATCTCTGTTTAGCCTACTCATTCCCTATGACTTTTCAAAATACCAAAAATCCTTTGGGAACAAGATCCAGAATAAAAACTAAATAGTAACTATCAAGAAGATAGTTACAGTTCCTTCTTTCTTGAGATTAAGAGAAGTCTCTATCTCAGTTAAATCTAAAATGAAAAAACAAAAACAAAAATGGGCCTCCCTGGTGGCCTAGGGATTAAGTCTGAGTACTACAACAGCTACAGCCATCCATGGAGGCCTGAGTTTGATCCCTGGCCAGGGAGCTAACCCACATGGCACAGCAGACATCTCCTGTTTTGCCCACTGCTTCTTTCAGCATTTCAGTAGATCCGCCTGCTGTGCTACCCACTCTATCTCTAGTGATTCCGCTCACCCTTACACTTCAGGACTATACCCTAGTTCTTCTACGCAAAAATAAAATTAAATCTGAAATCTGAAAAAACCTCAGATGGGTGTAGCATATCAAATTCTGTATATCTCAAGTCAGACTCACTATTTTTCTTATCCTCCTACAGTTTTTACTCTTTATTTTTCTCCCCTAAACCATTACAGGACGTATTTCCTTAAAAGGCGGAGGAACACTTCAGGGCAGTGAACAGGAACCATTTTCCCTGTTCCCACTTACATACAGACACTTTGGATTATAAATCCCAGTATATCATGAACCAGACTTCCTGAGCAGGAAGCTACTGGGAGCCAGGGATAGAGCTGAGTAGCCAGGTGGACCAATTTAACACAGAAGGCAAGCACACACTCTCTTATTTTTCCAGCTTCAACTTACACCCAGGGACTTAGAGGAGAGACATGCAGAGACACTTGCAAGGGACACATGGGTGGTCTTTGGCCATTATATTGACGTAGTATATTTTGAAGTTTTAGTCTCTCCTACTGTCCCAGCTTTCTGGAATTTGCCTTAGCCCTTCCTTGTGGTTTTCTGCCAAAAGGTACCTTAGACTTGTAGCAAGCTTTGGGGACTCAGCAGTCCTGCTGCAAACCAACCTAGTTTGCCTGGACATTTGCCCAAGAGGGGGTAGTTAGTTTTGCAAATTTTATTAGGAAACTGTTATTCAAAATGATTTCTTCTTCTCTATGCACGTCAATTCTATTAAAAAAAAATTTTTTACACTAAGAGTCGGCTTCCTTTCTTTATGCAGATGGCCGAATGTCTTTCAGAGTGTGTCTGAGTACCTAACAATCGTGCTAACAAAATCTACCCTCTGTCTGTGTCTCTTTCATCCTCTAACTTGATTTAAGGGCACCAGAAATCCTCCCAAACACCTTTTGTGAAAATTTTGTGCAACTCCTCACCTACTCTCCCTCCCACAAGTCATCTGATTTTGGTTCTACCTTCAAACTATCTTTTCTTCTCTCTTAAGGTCCCATTGCTATTGTCCTAGTCCACTTCTCACTTTTTCTTAAGTGACACATTTTATTTTTAAAAAGTGAGTAAACAAACACATGTACAGGTTTGTACATTCCATAAAAGCAATAATTAGATCTGTCTTACTGTTATGCTTACAATACTTAACAACGCCTGCAATATCTATTTCAGAATGAATTTATATGTAAATGATCTCTTGTACAGGATTTCACAGCATCCGTGAAATCATATCAAATCCACAGCTAACATCTTTTTGTCTTCAGAATTTGGGTGTTGAAATGAAAGTTATAGGAGTCTTATGAAAATGACAATATTTTAGATTAACAAGTGGCATTTGTGTACACACATTTAGGAAAGAAAGATAGACTAAGTTACCTCAAAGAAAAAACAAATATTGGAAGTCTCATTTGTTGTCTTTCTAAGCTCTATGTTTCATGAAGCTTTTTACCTACACCACAGGGATCTTTCTGCAAGGGGATACTCCGGGAAGGTGGGTACAGATGGAGGGGAGACCATGACTAAGGCACAGAAGGAGAGCCATGGTGACAGATACTTCCTGCCTTTGGCTTTCCTTCTAGGTGGGGCCTTTATTTCACATACTCATGGTAATTATTAGTCTAACAAAACCATCATAAAGTTTTAGGGAAGACTTAGGAACATTCAGTACTAACTATATTCAATCGTTATCCTTTGGGCTGACTTTCCTCTGAGTTAATTAAATTCAAATAAGTATCTTTCCATTCCCTGGGACTTGGGAGGAGGAGTCCAATGCACTTGAGAAGTCACAAAACAGCCATTAGATGTTAATAACTAAGAACTGTTCCAACCTCTGCTGGTTTCAAATGAGAGGACCAGAGGCATAAAGCTCCATAGGGCATTACTAACTTCCTGAGGCACTCAGCTGCTGAAAATGAATTCCTCAAATAATAGTTTCCTTTTCCAAAATTTAGCTGGATCAGATATTTTTAGTTTAAAGGTCCTAATGAGACTTTGCAGGACCATGCACAGCAAGGGAGATTCCTGCACAATAAATCACTGGAGGTGTGCCACCTTACTGCTGGAAATTTGAATAAGTAACTTTGTTGATTTATAGCAGATGTTTTTTCACTTAGTACTAGCCCACCAAAGCACATGTTAGGCAGTAAACTCCCTGAGACTCACACCATTGCTGTCTTGTTCACTGCTGTCTAAATGGCATCTATGTGCTCCTGCAGATAGTAGGTGCTTAACAAAGTATTTCAAGCGGACAAATGAAAGTCCTATAGAAGTGCACTGCAATCTCCTTTGGACAATCCTATTAAAAGACAGGCAGCAAAAAGAGTTTCAGTCTACAGACACAAGAAATAGAAAACTAATTCTGAAGTAAAAAGTCTTTGATTAGCCAATTCTTTGGTGGGGTTAGGAACAATACACTAGAAGCTTGGGGAAAGGCACAGTATTTCTGAAACTCGTATCCATAAACTATTGCTCCTTGAAGATTAATTGTTTTCCAAATACGAGGCATTTTCACATATATTTCTCAATTATTACTTACATTACATCTGTCTGTCCTCCATTCCTATTCAAGTTAGAGCCCATTGGTTTAATAAATGTACTTTGAATGAATGTTTATTTGAGTCAAATTGACTAAATATACTCACCATCTGTAGTCTATATACTCAGAATGTACTTCTAACTGCAGTGATGTGTTTCTTTTGAGACAAACTGTCCTTTTTCCTTCTTTTTTTAAGATTTATTTATTTATGCATACAAGAGCTGGGGTACAGGCCAGAGGTATGGGTGGAAGGGTGAGAGGATTCACCAGAGACAGAGTGGGGAGCAGAACAGGCAGACTGATTGAAATACACCACTAAGGGGAGCAGCGGGCGAGACAGGAGAGTTCTGCTGCACCATGTGGGTAGCCCTCTGGCAGGCCGGGGATTGAACTCATGCAGCAGTGGCTGCGGATAGCTTCACAGTGCTGTGTTTATTAACCCCTTGCACAACCAGGGAGGCCCCCTTTTTTTTTGAGGTCACACTGATTTACAACACTGTCTATGATTAATAAATATAGGCTCACACTCCTTCAGATGTATGTTGCCACACCGTATCCACCACCAAGGCACCCACAGTCTTTCATCTAGTTCACGGTCTCTATCCACACTTTGTTTACCATTCTAAACCCCTGACCTGTCCCACATTCCATACCCTCAATTTTGCAGTCAGATTTCTAGATTTTGTTACGTGTTCGGCTTTGTCTGGCACTTTGTTTTGCTTCTCTATGTTTAGTCCTCTTCATGACCAAAGGCTTCATTGAAAAGAAGACAGAGTGAACATAATGGCAAAATCAATAGATGTGATGTTTGGCAGTGTCCCCATCTCTAAAATGAAAGCTATAATAGCACCTAACTCATAGGGTTATTTTAGGAGCTAAATGATTTCACATATGTAAATAAATAAAACATTCCCTGGCACTTAAGCTCTTAACAAATGTTATGTATTTTCATATTTGTTGTTGCTGCTGTTATGTGTCATAGTTCCAATTTCTTCTATCTTTGAAGATCACAGTTGCCTATAAAGAAGTCTTAATCTATTAGTAGCAAATGGTTGTGGAAAACTAAACAGAATGCTTGATCTATTTTTTTTTTTCCTTCTGTAACACATGTTTCTTTTTACAGAGAATTTCTAGAGATACTGGTCTTACTGAAAGCAAGAAATGAGTTCTTACCTTGAACATTAAAATTTCTGATTGAGCAGAAAGATACAGAAACACCATGGCAGTTTCTCAAAGCAGACTTCTAGAGCCCCTGGTGCACTGCCTCCCTGGCTCATTCATGGAGGTGGGCACGTGTCCAAAGCCAGTTCAGTTCTCTGCTTTGTTGCATTTGCTTTCCTTCTCACCCCTATTCTTTTCTCCTCTTCATTTGCTTTCTCTCTTAGTCCTAGTCCTCTTCCTTGGTTAAACTCTTCTCTTTGGTAAGGTACGACCATAGGATACGTTCCCTCTTTGGGCCGGCATCTCCAGTACTCACTTTGTAACCCACTGATAGACTCCCTCAATACCTAACTGGGAACACATACAAGTGGAAATGAATTCCTCATAGTGCAGTGGTTCTTAAAATGCCTGGAGTTTTTCTGCAAGACTTTTTTGTTTTGTGTTTTAATTTTAAATATTAATATGAACATTTTCTGTACCATCTGGACAAACACCTTCAGCACCCATAATAGGTATTGTAGTATATTTTCACTGTTGTGTTAAAACATCAAAATTAATTTACACCACCGCATTTCTCTAACTATGATCAATAATACTCTTGTGTTATCTTGGGACTCTGCAAATTCTTTGAGAAACAAAGAAATTTAAAAGACTGAAGGGAACCAAGTTCACTTACAACAAAAGTTGAAGTAAATACATGTTTTCCAGGGAAAGGTAGAAAATAGGGTCCTGTCAGCACTGGGCATGCATAGGGAGGGCAGGCTTCCATGGGACAGTCAGAAGAGGAAGTGGGGTGGGGGAGGGGGGAACATGATGGTTTCTAGGCATCCAGACTAAAACTAGTTAGTGAACAAAAATAAAATATCAAATACAAATAGAGAAATCTCAGAGTGTAATTTATAATAAGAGTCTTTGTCTTTATCAAACAAATACATACTGAGTACTAATTATGAATGAAGATAACTTTTCCCAATACAGAGACAGTCAAAGCCTAGCAATTGCCCTTAAAGATTTGGGAATTGAAAGTAAGATAGCTCCTTACCATGCCAGGCCTCCACTGTCAGCTTCAGGGGGAGGCATTTTACAGCTACGATGGCACAAAAGGGAAACAGCAGAGTTACAAAAAGCTTCAGAGAGAAGATGGCATTTGAATTGGTCTTTGAAGGCTACATGGATATTTATGAGATATCAAAAAAGAAAAAAGATGCAGGGTGGAGAGTAGAGGGTGGAGGTCCAGGAAGCAGAGAACTTTTTAGCAAAGGAAACAAGGAAAGAAGGACCTACATTTTTATGGACTAACTGGTATTAGTGTGGCCAGCATCTCAGTCTAGTAAAGAGAAGGACAAGGCCTACAACTGAAAATGTTCATTCAGACCAGATTTTAGAAGATCTCTTCAGTCTTGCTATTGGGTTCTATTATCTTTTAGTAATAGAACCCAGAAAGAAGTTTTAAAGCAGGTAGAGACATGACAAATATTTTTCCAGGAAATAATAGTCTGTGCATAGTTTGGAAAATGTATTAGTAGGGAGGAAAAACTAGCTGGCTATGAGATTGTGATAATAAGTTAAGCAGAAGCAAAACAATGAGAGTATATAACTCGGGTCTGATTCAGGACAGAGTTGAAACAGACAAATGGTATTATGTACAAGAAAAATCAAACAGGTTGCTACAGATTGTAGTGCAAAATCTAGGTAGATCCTGAAAAAGAGAGATAGGAAATTCAAAAAGGAAAGTTTTGAGCTGCTGCTAGGAGGATAGGCTTAGGGGGAAATGATGAGGATTATTATCAAAAAGTTTAGTCTGAACTACTTTGATTAACAGTGAAATAGCTGGCCTTCCCCTTCTACTATGGTTTCTCCCCATATTTTATCTTATCCTATATTAGATCAAGCCCCCAAATGCCCAATTAATCAGATTCATTGAAACCAATGGATCACTGGTCTCAATGACCAGTTAACTATTTCAGTCACTGAAACCAGAGTTTCTCTTTTCAGGTCTCAACCTACTTGATCTTTTGTAAATGGTGAAGATAAACATAGATGTACAGTTCAGAAAGCCTTATAAACTATTCTCCAAACAGGGACATTTCTGTATGTGGAAGGAGACCATTAATAATTATGCTGGAACATAACTTTGTTGGAATAATGCTGAATAAACTAGAATATTTGATCTCTAAAGTGTTAGGAATGTGCATGCTCTGAAAATTGTTCCAGAACAGACAAGCACATACTGAGATATGGTGAGGCACAAAGTTTATTTTGAGTCATAGTGGAATAAAGAGCCTGATAACTCAAAGACAGTACAAGTCTTTCCAAGTCCTGTCAGCACTGGGCATGCTGCGTAGGAAGGGCAGGCTTCCATGGGATGGTCAGAAGAGTAAGTGGGGTGGGGGAGGGCGGAGCATGATGGTTTCTAGGCATCCAGACTAAAACTAGTGAACAAAAATTAAAATATCAAATGCAAATAATTTAAGTCCCAATTTTTCCATAGTTACCTTAGAAAAGAAAATTGGAAATATAGACAGATGACTCCATAAATCTCTAAAATGAGAATTATGTGTTGCAGCTCTAAAGGAGTAGGAAAGAGATTTTATTCTCAGATTATTTCATTTTTTTTTTCAAAAGAACTATGCAGAAGAGGAGAAAACAAACAACAGCAAGATTGTAATGTTAAGTACCTCTTGATTTCTGACACCAAGTGACAGGTTTAGCTCAAAGCTAGACTGAGCTCATGAATATTTTATTTGTCATCTTCAAAAAATCTTCCTGTGGGAGAGATAAATACCTGTCATAACATTTAAAAAAAATGTACTTTCTTTTAGCTTTTAAGAAGAGGTATGTGTATAGAGCATTAGGGTTAAACACAACCGTCACTGGATTTGAACTACATATACTAAGCTAAAATTTGTATTTTTCCTAGTTTGACCACAAGAAGATGTTTGTTATGCCTTTCCAATTTGAAGTTTTTAAACATCAAACTTCTACAGAGAATGTTTATGCTTTAAAGCACTTTGAAAATTATAGACCATCTGAAGAGGGCTTCTTACTGGGCTTAAAAGCCAGTTCATTATCATAAAGAAAAGCAATATAAACTTTAGACTTTGAATAAGTGCATTTTGCCAAAATACTGATAATGCTGCCATATGTTGTTTTTGTGCCTTTTCTTGGTGATAGAACATGTTTTGTTAAGAAGTAATAGTGGCTCATATGTGATCCTTTTTCTATAAATGTAGACCCCAAATTATAATTTTTATTTCAGCAATTTATAGATTGTTCAAGACATTCTTTGAAATCTGCTTATTTTCATACACACCTACCTATAATTTATAATATGATATGGCTATCAGTTAACCTTTAAAAAGCACCATTAATATCTGGTTAGCTACAAAGAAGTTGGCTATTCCCTCTGTTCAATGAAGAAAATCATAAAAATAGACATCAGGTGAGGCCCTAAAGCTCAGTGAGAGAACAGAGGAAATTTTCCAAATATAACACAACCAGTTCTATTTGATTGAATTTTACAATGGCCAGAGGGGGAAGAATGCAAAGCCCTATTAAGAAAAACGTTTAAATTCATGCTATGAATCTCCATGGATGGTTGTTTCATAATCTTAATTCTTGAAGTATGGCATATGAAAGGCCTAAGCCCTTAATTATAGTAAACGATACGGCATTTTGGACATCAGGGGAAAATTTGGCTGGCTGTGAAAGTGGAAGAAAGAAAGGAGAGAAAGTAGGATGGAAGGAGGGAGGAAAGAAAGGAAGAACTAGCATTTAGGGACATGTTTGAACAGTTATGGGATTGTGTGTGTGTGTGTGTGTGTGCGCGCGCGCGCACGCACGCATGCGTGCATGTGTTTCCAGTTTGGTTCTACAATAGAATTAAAGGAAGCAAATCAAAGAAATAAGTAAGAAATGGGGAGGGACAGGGATGCATGCTATTGTTGAGATGGAATAAATAAAATATACTAGTGTGAGAGTGTCCATCAGGCAGACCAAACCATCTTTCAGCAGTTGAAGAAGACCATGACATATTATTAAATTGCTGTGAAATCTCTTATTTGAAGTAGGAAAAATCTGTGAACACGCAATAGCTTTATAGTAGGCCAGGTCCCTGGAATGGTTGATGCTGGAAGAGTGAGAAAAAAGTTAACTGTTTTTATTTAATTATTGAGAAAACTACGGTTAGATCGAATAGTTACAGAAATCATTTCATATTCACTGCCAAAGATATAGTGACCTTAAATCTAGATGCATGCACAACTTCACTCTATATTCTATCCATTTATTTGTGAAAAAAAATAATAATTCCACTCAGGAGAAATCTAGTGGGTTGTGTGCAATACATATCCTCAACAGAGTGAAATTGACTTTTCTCTATATGCCCAGAATAGGCATTTTCCAATAGGTTATCTTGGTATAGAAACTAAAGGTCAATCAAGGTCCAGTAAACCTTAGGAAGTCTATTACTATAAATTTAAAAATGCAGACCTTTTGATATTAAGATCAGTGAAGGTTCTAGAGGCTAAGAGAAAATTTGTTTTGTCTCAGTCTAAAGAAAGTTACAATAACTGGTGCCTCTTTTCATGACCTAGAAGAATGTGGTTTTAGGGGTATCTTATAGATGTAGGTTTATCAGTAAGTATATACTTCCTTTCTAAGAAACTCATCTTTTTACTCTCATAGCGTGTGAAGTCTTCCCCCTTCTTTCTCTTTGCCCTCCACAAGATATTCTGAGTCCACTCCATTTTATTTTGGAATTTACAGCCATGCAACCACTATATATGTCAGTTATTAAATGTTGGGCTTTTCTCCTACTGTCTAATGCTAATTTATTTGTCCTTTCAGTCTCAGAAAAACCCTGATGGGCTGGAGGAATTTCCCCTATACCCCCCACAATGGATTCATAGAGTCATAACCCTAGTTCATACTTTCTGGGAAAATGTAGTCTTAGAGTCAGGTAGGAAAATAGTGAGCCTCTATAAATCTAACTCTGCAAATTCAAACCCAGATTTGACGGGGACAAACAAGAGGTAGAGAAAACAAGCTGTAAAAAAGTCAACTCTCTCCTTCCTCTATATCTCTTTGTTTTTCTATCTCTATTTTTCCCCCTAAGAATTCTGAATTAGTTTTCTATAGAAACAAAATTTTGAAGATCGGCTGCCAGTCAACAAATATTTTTTGTGCATCCACTATGTGCAAGTAAAATGGGCTTTCCTTCAATTACATCCACACATTGGGATTCCATTGGTAGTATCCCTGCATCCTCATACAAATTAGTGTTTTGTGTGCAGGGGAAGAAAACGCAGGTCTGAGACATGACCTGCACCCTCATAAATGTTCCATCTACCAGAGAATATAAAACACATAGCAAGTAATTATAGCACAAATTGAGAGTATGAACTGTCACCCAGATAGCCACGGGAAGACTGACGTAGATGTGAGCTAGCAAATATTATCATGCCCCCTTGGTGTGGAATAGCAGCCAATGTCTGGTTTCCAGTGTGCCCAAAGAGGAAAGGCTTAGTCTGATGTAGGTTTCTGAGCAGGTGCTTTTGGAGGTGAGGACTTCTTCCCTGTTCTCATTCTCTGCAGGTCCTTTCTCCTCCGCAATGAGGCTCAACACACCAAGCTTTTCCAGACATCATTTCACTGACAGGAATGGCTACTTTCTCCTCAAAACAAACTTAAAGCCCTCCTATACCCTATCTCTTATAATTCCTGTGGGCTGACATTCCTTGCCCTGTGGATATGTAGGGATTTAGGGGTTCTGCACTGTGTGAGGGGAGACTTCATGCTTATCCTGGTTGCATTGTTCTTTCCTATGTTCCCCTGGGCAGGGACCTCTTCAGTGCCTCCAACTCAGGCAAGCCATTCGTGTCCCTGAGCCCACTTGATCCATGGCTGAGTAGGGAGTCAGGTGGACACACTTCAGGATCGGCTAAGACACTTCCCAGCACCAGGCTGAAGAGCTGCTTGCTAAACAGAAGAAGACAGGAAGCTTCACTTATGTAACTACACAAACAATAAAAATAAGAACTCTGGAACAGTTTCGAACCTGTAAATATATTTTGAACCTTTCATTCCAACTAAAAAAGGTTTCTAAAGTTTTGACCCTTTTATGCTCAGTTGCTTGTTTTTCTCGCTGTGAGAGAGAATATATGAATACATGAAAGTCTTCCGAAGAGATGTACTTATTTACAGGAAAATGTAGCTCAAAAATAAACTAATCCCATGCAGGAATTATGACTAAACTCAGAACACCTTAAATTTTTACCGGCCTGGAGTAACAGCTTTTACATTATTTTACTGTCAATAAACTCAAAACAGATGAATTAAGTTCTCTAAAATATCTAAAGCTGAATCCCCTTATAACTCTGTAAATTTCACAAAGAACAAGTTCCTCTGCTAACAAGCGATTTATAGAATGTGTCTCAGTTTTATAAACTGTCCCTTAGCATCCCTTATTAGAGAAGAGCTTCAGATTTTTGAAACACTAACTCTGTTCAAGTTTATTAGGTTCGGTTTCAGATATAAATGACTTTTAAAAAAAATGCTTAAACTCATACTTATGGGCCCAAGAAAATATCTTTCCTTTCAGAAAACTGTAAGTAGACTTGAAGAACTTAATATCGTAAAAATGTACATCTTCCTAAACTAATCTACAGATGCCATGCAATTCCAATAAAAAAAGAATTTTTGATATAACTTGACAAACAGAATCTAAAATATATAGAGAAAAAGGTCAAGCAAGATGGGGGCTTACCAATGGATCTATCAAACCTTATTGTAAAACATAGTAATTAAGAAAGCCCTCATTTTATCTGGAAATAGGCAAATAGGCCAAGGAAGTAGAATAGAAATTGGAGAAATAAATCCACATGTATAGAATTTATAATTTATGAAGCGGGACTTGAAGCTTAACTTTATTTCTCATATTTTAAAGATAGATTTATTTATGAATACAAGAACTGGGGTGTAGGCCAGAGGTGCAGGGGTTGGAGGGGGTGAGAGGATTCACCAGAGACAGAGCGGGGAACAGGCAGAACTACTGAAATACACTGATGAGGGGAGCAGTGGGTGAGACAGGAGAGGTCTGCTGAGCCATGTGGCTCAGCTCCCTGGCCAGGGATTGAACTCACACCACAGTGTCTTGTGATAGCTTGATAGTGCTGAGATTTTAACCCCAGCACCACCAGGGAGGCCCTGAAGCTCAATTTTAGAAGAAGGGACTATTTATAAATGGTACTAGCACACTGAGTGGAAACTCAATTCCAACTTCACATCCTTTACTAGTATAATTTTAAGGTAGATTAAAGAACTAAATATTTCAGGCAAAACTACAAACTTTAAAAAAGAAAATCTAAGGAATGTGTTAATTACCTCAGGGTAAGATATTAAAAGGCATAAAAGAACTAATCATAAAAGAAAGATTCTACTACATTAAAATAAAGAACTTCAGATCATCAAAAGAAACCATTCAACAGTGAATGAACAAGTCCCTGACAGAAAGAATGTGTTTGCAGAACACAAAACCAACACAGATTTGGGAAGAAGAGCATATACAGAATTCTTACAAATGAATATTAAAAATAACAAGTAATGTAATAAGTGGCAAAAGACATGAATAAAAATTTCTCAGAAAAGGAAACACAACTGATGCGTAACAAGCAAACATGCTCAACCTTATTAGCAATCAGAGAAATGCAAATTAAAACCACAGATAAAAGTATTTCATCTCAGCTGAGCGGCTGACATCTACAGAGCACATACCTCAATTAACTTTTTGTATCTTAACTTTTCCTTTCTGAAGATGAGGGTAATTCAGTTCACCGACATTTTTCATAGTCTGGTTTGTTATTCTACATTCTTTTAAGGTCTAATACCTTACCTTTTCCATCACTTCTTTTCTTCTCACCCCTATATCAGTTTCTAATGGATTTAGCAGGAAACAGACATTTCTGTTCACTTGTACAAACCTGTGAAAACATAAAAGGGATGGAAATGGAGATGGAAATTTCAGGCCACCAGATGTCTTTATGCATAAACATAAATAATACTGCCATAAAATTGACCCCAGCCTACCTTTTAAGTAGGAAAACACTCTCCGTTAATCCAACAAGGGTAATTATGGGTGATTCATTTGCTACTAATTTGCTGAAAACTTGACTCAGAAAATGTGAACAATACATATATTAAGCTTTAACTTAACACATGACATTCAACAGAAATCTGCTCACTTTGATAGTCTTCTTCTAAGGAAGTCTTTAGACTGTTTCCTAATCAGAATAATGAGCTTATTGGAATTTATGAAATCTAAGTCTCCTTTCCAGCACTAAAGTTTCAGTGCTGTGTTTTCACTATCAAGGACTGTTTACTTCTAGAAAAACAGGCCTAAGAACTGTTAAGGGTCTTTGTTTCTCTTCAAATTCCCTCCATTTCTATGTCCAGCTGAAATTCTTTCCCTGTTTCTCTGTCCCTCCCTCCTCCTGCCCGCACACTATATTACTCTCTTATTCATACTATAATTTAAAACAATTAAACCAACCTAGAAAAATCTACTAACATGCTAAGAAATAAACCTCCCAGCACTAAAAGTCACTGCTAACATTCTTTGTATTACAATATAGAGTTAAAATTATAACAACATAAACACAGTGTCACACAATGAGATATATTTGCTTGTAATGGACAAATAATCAATCTTCCTGTTACCAGAAATTAGGTTCCCAAAGTCATCCAGTAATTTTTTAGGAGTTCTCAAAACAATCTCTTACCACCCAGTCTGTGAACAGGTGACCCCAAAACTCCCTAACCATTTACTTGCGCTCCAGCTCCGGCTCCCTGGGAAGCCACCTGGGGCAGCTTTACCTCTCATCTGTCCTCCTTGGCAAGGTCACTGACCCTGCAGGATGCTGACTCCAGATGCTGACAAAATCTCATGTGTGGTGACAGAGAATCTCTGGGCTCCAGGTAAAGGTGGGAATAGTGATACCGTAATTTCAGGTGTTCAGGCCTAGTCTCCCAGCCAGGAAAGGATCCCAGGCTGCAGAGGCAGCGCTGAGCCCCAGCCACTAGACCACCACGGGGAGACGCAGCAGGAACTTCGCTGACGCTCAGGCAAGCAAGTGAAGAGAGGCAGATTTGTTTAGAGAAAGAAAAAGCTTATTAGGGAGAAAAAGAACAAAAATAAAGTGGGACTCCCAGGCCGGTGGAAGCAGGCCAGGGAGGGGCAAGGTTGCTGAAGTGGAGTCTCCTCAGGGAATATGCACCTTCTTTGGCTGATTATTCTAAAGCCCCATCAGTCTCTCTGTGGTTGGTTAGTTCTGGTGGTCTCACTGTCTTAATGTCTATGTGCCGAGAACTAAGTCTCTGTCTCCCAGTCCTTATCTTAGAATACTTTTCTTTATCATCCTTGTTCCCCAATGTTCTGTTGCCCCTAGTCCTGGGGGTGTCTGATTGTCTCCTTTGGAATTTGTTATCCTTATCTCTGGAGCTCTCTTTATTCCTCCCAGGCTTGTCCTATTCTATTCTGACCGTAAGGGCTCTCTGCTTGTCCTGTGCCTCATTAGCATTCTCCCTAACATATTCCATGTTGCTGGACAACAGGTGGATTTGTTCATCTTAATTTTTTATGAAAAAATGCACTGTCAGGTACTGGTCCATTCTGGACAGACCCCTTCTATTAGGGAGGGCTAGAATCTCAGAGTACTCGCTTGTATTCCCTGTATTTCATCCCCACTTAAAACTTCAAAATGCTCCTGCCCATGTGAGAACCAAAAAAGGAAAATTCTATCTTTTGCTCTGTCGGAAAATTTCTACCAACACCCTCCCAGGGCCACCTCCAGAGTTAGGAGTCGGTAAAGCAATGATTGATATTCACTGTGAAGAACCCTCAGGAAAGAAACAGAAACTGCTGAAAAAGCCCACAGATGGAGCCGCTGTCATATTTGCAAGCTGCAAGAGGAAGGAGCATGAGATAATTGTGCCTACATGTCTATAGGTATCATTTTAGGAGAAGAGCATCAAATAATCTTTGTTCCTTACATATTCCCAAACATAGGCAGCTCTGACTAAATTCATCTGTAAGATCACTGAATTGCTATGAAGTTATGAACAGTATTTTTCCCATATCAATTAAGTTTGTTAGAAACCAGTCTCTTTATTTCACTGAAAATGTTAGAAATATAGGTCTTGCTGTTTTTAAGAACAAATAATTATGTGTTTTTTCTGTGCATGTAACTTATGAGTATCAAAACAAAAAAAAATCTGAAGGTGGAGACCATCTAAGAGAAATTTCATATTAGTTCTCCCATGTCTGGATCCTCAATTTAATTCTGAATAACCTTATTAATAAATGTCTCTTTTAGGGCCTCCCCGGTGGCCTAGGAGTTAAGTTTCAGCGCTGTGATCTTGAAGGCCTTCCGTTGCAGCTTGAGTTCGATCCCCAGCCAGGGAGCTAACCTACATGGCACAGCAGACATCTCCTATCTCCCTGCTGCTCCCCTTAGCAGTGTATTTCAATAGATCTGCCTGTTCTCCTCATCAGCATATTTTTCCAGATTTACATATATAACACTTAAAATTATTTGAAATTTAATCCTTTCTGTAGTCTCCTTTTGCTTTTCATTGGTATCTGTTCTTTTCTATTTAGTGTTTCTATCTACATTTTCCCCTCTCTACTGGACCATTTCAATCAGCATTTAAATTTCATTTAGTATTTGCCATTGTTAAAATAAAACAAACTGCACCCTGCAACTATAATTTTATCTCTAATTTCCAAAGCCAAATTTTTCAAAGCATTATTTACAGTTTTCATCTCCTCTTCTGCACTACCCATTTACAACAACACATTTCATTATGGCTTACCACACTCACTCACTCTACACCAACACTGCCTTTGCCCCAGTCACTTGCCATCCTTGGCAGGTTGTCCCTGTGTCCTCAGCAACATGAACCTGTCAGGAACATTTACTTCCTGCTCCACAGTAGCACATTCATGCTCTCCTCTAATCCAGCAACTTCTCAATCTCCTTTCTAAATCTCTTCTCTCACAGCAGTTTATTTTTTAGTCCTTGACACATATCCTTTCAGTTTCTAGTACATTATAGACCCCACTTGTCACATTCTGTTCCCTTTTTTTGGAATGTACTTTCCTATTCTTTCCCCATAGAAATACCTACTCAACTTAACTGTTACTTATTTAGGAGGCATTGTCTGATCTCTAAGTCTAGTTAAGTCTCCCTATTCATTTATTATATATTCTTCTTGAGGCTAGTAATTGTCATTCTTATTTAAAAATTTACATATGTATATAATATTTTTCTATGATAATTTTGATGAAATGAGTATTTGTGTAAGAATGTGTTTGATGATTATATCCACAACTAAACTCCAAACTCCATAAAATCAGAAACTGTATCATATCTCTGGAATTTTCATACAGTTGGCATAACTGGATAAAAATTCTAACACACCACCCCTATAGAAAAGAACAGTGATAGAATCTAAAATATTGCCTTCTTACAGGAAGCAATTTCAAGAAGCTTTCTTTGGATTGGGAACATTCTTTACTCTAAAGAGAAATAGATTTGAGTCTGGAGAGTATTTCACAAATACTGGCATAATTTGCCTCATGGGTCATGTTTTTGACTTTTTAAGATATTTCACTATACTGATATATCTAAATGAAAACTTTCATTCTGAAACTGACTATATTTCCATGTGAGTACCACCAATCCTGGGGAAAAAAAAACAAAAAACAGTATCTACCTACTAGACTAGTTTATTCTTTGAATAACAATAAAAAATATATAGGATCAAAACAAAAATTCTATATAGATTTAAATGTTTAATAAAAGTCTTCCTCTATGATAGTGCTTACAGTTTATGTTCCTTTTTTATTTTACAACAGGAAAATGCCACTCTGCTACCAGAACAATCTGTGATGATTATAAACTTGAATTCTAGATACTGTAGCTGCCCAAGGAAGGAAGGAGCTTGGCTAACCATGGGCCAAGCCTGACAAAATACCACTGAAGCTATTCTTTGCATAAATATTCAGCTCGGGTAAAGGAGTATGTCCATCTGTCTACATAGATTATGTAACCTAAGTAATTTTTTTAATATTTATATTCTAAAAAATAAAAAAATATCCTGCATGTAGTCATTAGATAAGGATCATAATTCTCATTGCTAATATGTGATACTTAATAACATGCATATTGGCTTGGGTAAATGGCTTGTGAAATGTTTCAATTAATTCTATGGGTACTATAATAATTTGATATTAAAACAAGTATGAAATGTCAGAAATTGGGAACAATGAAAAAACAGTATGCAATATTTAAGAAAAGTTTATAAATATGGATTTAAACCAAAGATATACATACAAACATTTTTATTGATTTTGTATTCCTATGCCACCAAAAAATGTCAGTTTCAGGTCCTAAATTATCATTACTGTTATTTTCTCTTTTCTGTATGAAGAATTTGAAAGCCACTATTTTTTGCTCTGCTTCAAAGCACCAACTTCAGGGTGGATATGTTGTATTAATTGAGGTGAGGAGGCTACCTGTAATAAGTCTTGGCTTCTCTGCACCGTATACTGTGGATTTGATTCATATTTTATAAGGTTTAGAAAAAAGTGTTGAGTCAACTTTTTACACAATTATGCGGCAGCAGAACACATCTACAATACACTCAAAATATCAAACAAGTCTCTCATCGCCATTTTTTGTTCCTTCCTCCCTCCTTTGCTTCCCCCCTTCCTTAATTCCTTCATTCTTCCTCCTTTATCCCCCATATATATCTATCTCCCTATATATCTGTCTATGATTTCTCCTTTGCTCCACCCTAATATTGTTTGTATTTTTATTGCTCAATGCTACCAGCACTGTCCAAAGAATGTTTCAAATTCTGGGCCTTTCTGGTGGCACAGGGGTTAGAATCTTAGCACTATCAAGCTATGTCTAGCCAC